GAGAGAGAGAGAGAGAGAGAGTGAGATTGAGTGTATGACAAAATAAAGAAATGGAGACAGAGATTAATGCTTACATATGTATTGAGAGAGACATAGAGAGAGAGAGAGAGAGAGAGGGAGAGATGCATATATAGTCTGAGAGTGTATAAGAATATGTATTGAGAGAGAGAGAGAGAGAGAGAGAGAGAGAGAGAGAGGGAGAGATGCATATATAGTCTGAGAGTGTATAAGAATATGTATTGAGAAAAAGAGAGAGAGAGAGAGAGAGAGAGAGAGAGAGAGAGGATGGAAGTAAATGAGAGGCAGATAGAAAGAGAGAGAGAGAGATTGGGTGAGCGATAATGGTTAATAGAGAGAGAGAGAGAGAGAGAGAGAGATTGGGTGAGCGATAATGGTTAATAGAGAGAGAGAGAGAGAGAGAGAGAGATTTTGAACAATATATCTACATATTGAAAGAGAGAGAGAAAGAGAGGGTATGAGACTGACAATGAGACAAAATGAGAGAGAACGAGAAATCGAGAGCGACAGAGATCGAGGTGTAAAGATAAGAAACACAGAAAGGAAGAAGAGCGAACAAGAAAAGAAGGAAGAATAAAAGTGGGTCTCAGACTACCAGTTAAGAATACATAGAAGAATTAAATATATAAATAATAGATATACGTACATTATATAACTAGAACAATATGCAAATTACAGTTGAACTAGTTTTAATCTGATCTGGTGAAATGATTTCCCTAAATGAACAAATTTGTCGAAGTGCAATGAAATGTTTAGCAAAACTTTCGGCTTTGTCGTCTTTTAGGCTTGATGCTTTATAAAACAGAGCTTTCACAGATTTTACAGCTTTGCTTGAGCTCGAAACTCTACAATAAAAGTGAAGTATGTAGACTGGAAGTGCATTGATTTGTGCACAAGCTAATGCGCTGAGCGTTGCCAGACTGTTCAGAATTTCAAACGAGCAGACAAATTGAAAAGACTTTATATATAAAATAAACAAACGGAAGTATAGAAAATTCAAATCCAAATAAAAATTAGAATGAGTTCAGCTTTCTATGAGGAATTGCTTTATTAATTGCAGGCAAGTTTTAGTTCTGGCAGAGTCTAGAGAGTCTGGTCACACAGCGCCTAGCGGAGACAGCAACCCGGCAGCGTGTGCGCAGCTGCCGAACGATGCTTCGCTGTCGATGTCTAACGTCGCCGTCAACAGCTGTGAATCGGCGAAGGCGGCGAATCGCTCGGCCAGTCGTCCTTTTAGACCAAAGGATGCGATGCGATTTGCGCAGTTTGCGTGCGGTTTTCGGAGCTAAAGGACGCAGCAGCGGCAACGCCAACGGATAAGCCAAGCGCCAACGAATCATACTAGCAAAAAAAAAAAAATAATACAAGAAAAACAGAAAAAGAAAATCAACAACAACAACAGCCGTGAGATAAAACTCCTCAACCACAGTACCACCAGCCCGCACTTACCTAACCCACCTCAACCCGTTCCGCTCCATTCATTTATTTATTTAATTATTTTTGTTAAGCAAACAAAATGAAGCTGCAAAAGTAAATAATGGAAAACTTTTTGAAATATTTAACGTACATAAAATAATTTTGTTAAATAGTTTAATAACTTGAATTTAAAAAATAAATATATTTACTGAATATTGAAAGAGCCTAGAAGAAAGTTTATAATAACTTGAAAAAAATACTAAAAATTAATTTAAAAAATGCAACTAAATTTGAAATAACAACATTGTGTATGAAATTAATAAAGATTCAAATGTTTCTAAAAATATTCAACTAGTACTTTGAAATATTTAAGAAAAATTTGAAAATTAAATTCAATGCATTTTAAT